CTCCAAACAAAACCTCCGTACCAGGAGATTTAATAAGTTGTGAGACTTACAACAATTAAGTCCTCAATGGGTGACGTCATCACGGTCGCCCCCATCATCTGGTCAGGCTTGGCTGAAACGTGCATGTAACAGGCATCGTGATTGGATAAGAATGAAAATAAGCATGCAACAGACATCGTCATTGGACAATAATGAAAATAAGCAAAAATTTGTTGTGTTATATTTCTGCACACTTGTTTTGATTATTTCGTTTTAGTTCTAACTTGTAGTCATCAATTGTACGTATTGTGCATTGTAAAATGTTGCAGTTTATTTGTTTGAAACTGACGTCACATTACACTTAGATATGTCCTATACTACTAGTATTGTGAAAGTCTGCGGACGTTGAAGGTGCTTAATCAGCCTAACTGAAACTAAGGAACATGGCTTCCATTTTGATGCCCACTATTGAACTTGCTTGAAAGTAAAATTAAAGGAAGGGCCTCATGTTCAAGCATTACGCATGAAAATCTGAGTGTGCAAACGACATTACGTGACGGCTGCCAGATGCGCGGGAAAGCGCTCATGGCAGGATGTCCGTGACACGACTATCGGCCTTATCTCCCATCACACATGTTCAATGTGGGCGCACGACAGACGCATTGTGTTCAGAACTGCAGTGGCAACACCCTTAATATTCACACAGGCAGTTTCACCAGCATCCATTGGGCGGCCTGCTTAGAGAGTTGTGTTAGTGTAACATTTCATGGGCAAATGAACGCTATGGCGACCAAACTCCCCTGGTAAATTATTTCGTTCGCTCTTATTTATTACTCTGTCGATGTCGATCATCATTTTCATTTTATCATGTTCATTTTATTACTTCTTTATGTGCCTATAAATCTCTTTTAAACACACATGCAGACACACGCGCGCGCGCGCACGCACACTCACATGCACTCACTCACGCACGCGCACGCACACAAACAAAATGTCTCGATCCTATTATCCAAAGATAATAGGATCTAGAGAAAACTTCAAAAGGTGCATGTTGCAAACACACTCCACACGTGTGACACTCTATGCTAGATCCTTACATCTGCTTGAAGGTTAATCTCCAAGCAGATCATAAACTGAACTGAACAGAGTGGCATAAGACAGTATCAAATTCGCCAGGCAGTGTCCATTGTCCACCCAACACCGTTGGGTGACGTGTTGAACCCTCTCACAGTCTCTGGCCAATGGATACTGTCTGGCCAATTTGACACTGTCTTATGCCACCCTAGGATCTGCTTGGAGATTACTTGGAGGTGACATGTCCCCGGCCTAGCTTACCGTCTGGCAGTTGGAGCGGAAGTCTGTGACAAGTTGAATTGGCACCAAGTCCGTCCTCAGCCGGACATCTGAACACTGCGCCTGTCGACCCACTTCCGGCGGCTTCCCCCTGGGCGAAAGGTGCCCCAACCACTAATCTGGTACAATGTAGAACAGTCGTATAAACGTCAAAAACTTATCGTTGTGGTAGAAGTGGTATTCAGGTGGTAATCATCGTATTCGGCTAATTCGACCAAAAAGGGAAGAATATTATAATTAGCCAGGAGAGTCAGTGCGCGAGAAGCCACCCCCCCCCCATTATCTTCCTGGGGTACACTTAGTCATTCTCTTCTTAAATTGCCGCCTCGCTAACTGTGCACTTAATGAACCACGTAATTATCAAAGCCGATTCAAGATAACCTTCTTTTAATGGGCGCTGGAAGAGTTGTTTCATCAGCCGTGAAATAGATTAGGGGTCGAGATTAAACTAGATTACAAAAATCTCACTTGGCACCCTAACCCCCCAGAGGATTGGTATCTGAGGCTTAACATAACAACACGTAACTCAAATAATGGCCAATTTTCTTCAGACCCGAATACGTTAAGCAGGGCACGTTTTGATAAGATCAAGCAGTATAAAATTTCCTCACCAGTCCCCCCCGTACAAATAGTCAACTAAGGATAGTTCATCCCTAGTACTATAATCCCAAAATGTTTATAAAGAAAACTTTAAGTAATCTACTTGACGAAAGGGTGAATGAAAACTTACTCTCACAATAATATTTGATTTTAGATGTTTCTTTGGTTTAATTAAGAAGACAGGAAGCGTATGGTGTTCTGTTAGTTACTGTAACAGAAACAAAGGGGGGCACCAGTCTCACGGAATGACGCCTTGTACCGGGTTCTTTTGCCCAGCTGTCTCCAGAGCGACTTTAGTTACAAAGTTTAATAGAAAACATTCGGGTTTTTGGAACAGAGTTTCCTGTTTCAGAGTAGAGAAGTCTTTGTTCACAGAGACCACCCGGTGTATGTACTTAAGATCGCTACTTGTATGGAAGTTACCTAGGGGACTGTTCGTTGCGTTTTTTGGAGGACGGGATCGTCATTATGAATGTACAACAGAGGTAATATCAATAATGCTAACAAAGCAGAGGTACCTACTGTAACATGTAACAGAAAAAAATGTTGACTTAATTAAAAAAAAAGACAGAAACGTTACATGAAATTCAACTAGTGAAGGAAAATACTAGTACTGTATTTGCGTCTCTAATGGCTTCCGAAATATCAACTACGAGATCATATTTATTCATTCACTGCATATTGATAGCTTTCGGAAAAGCCTGTATTTTTCTGTAACTGTTTGATCACAGTCTACAAAAAATGTACTTTGAAATAAAACGTCGCATATCCGTGCCAAATAATAAAAAAAATCTGCTTATAGCGAATGCAATTTAAAGATATACATTGTATGATTATAAGAAAGAGTATGTCACCTAGTCGTTTTGCCAACACAATGCGGAAGTATAGATGAAACCGTAATGGTTATGACCTACCCGGCCGTTCCGCCGCTGGTTTCTCGGTGGAAGTCGAGCGAGGCGCCGAAGCCACTGCCTGTAGGTCCCCGGTACAACAGGCGGCTCTCCACGTCCAAATTAAACCCCTCAACGTCTAACGCCGCTGGCATAAAAACCAACCATACCCACCACATTGTCGTCTTCATGTTCCGTGTCATAGTTGTAAAGCGGGTTACGCAGAACATTGCCAGAATACAGGCAGCAGTTACAAACGGTAGTGCCCTCGCCCAACCTTCCTGCCACACTGTTAAGTCGGTCAACCTCACTGAAACGCGATCTTCCCGCCAATTTCGCTCCAGTCACCGGGGACGCACGGCAGGATATCACTGTGAACGAATGCTGATCACGGAAGCAACTTCAGCAGAAAACGAAGACCTTGAGTCATCCCTTGACTTAAACCCTGACTTGAAGTTGTGCAAATTTCCGTGTTCAGTGTTAGCTAACGAAGACAAATGTGAAGTTCTGCTGCACTTGGCATTGAAACTGAACATGAACAAACTGGGTAGCGTGGGTTGCTGGCAAACTTCTCAGTGACACATAGGAAGGCTTGGGGAGTGATTTTGCCCATATTCGGGTCAAACAGAAAGCAGAACAGGAACATATAGAAACTTGAGCACGGACTTTCTCCCCTTGTGCCAAGTCCCACGGGATGTGATTGATTAGAATCCCAAGTAAAGCGTGAGTCAGTCTTATCTGAGGGGATATCTAGCCTAGAAGGGATGCACGAGAAAGGCTTCCAAAAGAAGGACTGCGGTTTTGAGGTCATCACTTTCCCTCTGTTAAAACGCTGACAGGACCCACTGCTTCCTTCTCAATGCTTCTGGGAAAGGCGAACAGAATTAAAGAGGAACTGAAGTTCGTGTCCGAAATCATGAATATATTTGACATGGCTACATGTAATAATAAAAGCACACACACCTGTCCATGGTGGACAGTTCTTACCTATCAACGTACCATTTGAACTAACCCTCGTTTTTCCATAGGCAATGTAAATGCATCCTTGACTATGCGACAGATGAAAAGAACAATAAAAAAGGAGGCATATGGTAACAAAATCGATACTTATCGCTACATGTAGGATTTATAAGGGACGGTAACATGACCTGGATATTCCATTTGTATGACCAAGGACGTTATGTCACACCCCTTGGTATGACGTGGTTTCTTATTATTGCTAAAATTTCAAATGATCTGTTTCATTAACTGATCAATGTTTAGAATTATTGCTTGATGAAATAAAAATGCTTCGTGACTGTCCTTATTAGGTGAACCGCAAAAATGCTATCAGTTGTAAATGGTGAACCAAAAAAAAATAACGGTCATTATACAACAGAAATTACATGTATCTAGAGCCTAGCCTTTATTACAGTCACAGATTTTCATGTCTGTTCTTTTTAACTCTCTTGTCTTTCTTCACCACAAGCGATGAGGTGTCCTTGAGCTGTGACATCACGAGATCCGCCGCCTGGCGACAGCGCTGGAAGTGCAGGTAGACGTCATCTATCCGCTTCTGGAGTACCTCTCCGAAGTCAAGGTCACGTGGCAATGGCGGCAAGGACTTTCCGTGAGGTTCTTTCTCTCTAAGTTCTTTAAATAGTATATCAGCTGCGTTTCGTGTCGCGTAAAGCTTTTCAATGTGTAAAACGGTTTCTCTGCGGAACAAACAAGTTGTTTTCAGGAGGTCCTCATGTAAGGTTTTCATAATGGTATAGTCCACCTCTCCGCGTGAAGGCGCAATGCCGGCCAGCCACGAGAACGAGGTTATGAGTTGGTCGCCATTGTTGGTGTACCAGAGCCCGTTGTTGCTCCCGGAGCGCCGAACGTTCTTAACCGGCTCGTGGAAGTACTTCGTGCTGTTGGTCTGCGCGAGGTACAGGTTTCTCACCAGTCTGAAATGTACAAGGATAATTTTTAGATTTGATTCAAAGTCAAATCCAACACGAAGCATTAAGACGGGTGGCGTCACAGGCTACCTACCTCATTTGATCTACTGATAGAGTCACGTGTCCGTATGCGCTATGTGCATATGCAGACGTCATAGAAGAAGTCAACTGATTTCATCCTAGAGCTAATTATGTTATATGTCCATGTTATACAGTCGGAAAGGAAAGGATTTCTTACTCCATAGTTTGTAACAGAAGTGAGTGACTAAGAAGACGTAACTATTTGGCCCCCAACATCTGCTTGGAGATCGGACTAACCTGTCATTGTTGAAGAGGATGTAGTCGAACACCAGGAGGTCGGACCACTGCGCAAGCGCCACCAGGTCGGAGACGGACATCAGTCGCATCCGTCTGTTCATTGGTGAAACCGTCCCCAGCCTCGTTTCCGAATCGTCCAAGATATGATGAGGAAACAGTGTCCTAAAAGGCAGAGTCGTACTATCATTGTAAAATTTTTTAATGGTAACTACTAAGAAACAACGAAAATCTTGATCTGAATGGGTAAAACTGCAAAGTTATAAAGATTTAGATACCACACAAAATAAATAGAAGAAATTCATGGAATATTTCATAAACCAAATTCATTACTGTACTAGATGCTCCGACCCTAAGGCGTCGTCAAATCTAGGATCTTGGCATCATGACTTTCATAAACCGACTGAAGTCATCCCTTGATTCAACAAGTTAACTACCAGCCTTACAGGGCTCATAGACACGCGGGTATGACCCCTACAGTTTGAACTGTACGTTTTGGCGATAACCGTTCTTTTATATATGACATTTTAATATGTGTTTCGTAGGTGTTCTCCTTAAACATGGGACGTCTACCAAAGGAGTACAACCCCTACTAGTAGTATAATGTCGCCAATGTGCAAAATCTCGCACGACACGCTTCCATACGTACGAGTAGGACCCAAATCAGACCATTTCACGGTGATGACTTACTCGATGAAGTCTCCTTGCCAGTCCACCATGCCGACGATGTGCTTGTCCTGCCACCCAGCGGCCGTCAGGAGGAACAGCAGGTGCTCCGGGATGGCGGTGAAGTTCACCTGGGACAGCACCACTGTTGGAACGTTGCGCATGCCCAGTAGCCTTCCTAGTAGAAAGGAGAGCATCTCCCCTGCAAGACAAATGGCACAGAAACTGTAGTACCAAAGAAAGCCACCAGGAGGCCCAAACTCATCATTTCTTTGTCCTAACCACATTTGATGTACCTAACCTATTAAACTAACCCAGACGCCATCCTATTGTATATATGCCGGGGCTCCCAAACTCGATTTTTTCGGAGCCTGTAGTAAATTGGATGGAACCCAGACTATGACCTAATCACAATCCAATCATATCATCTTTCCTAGTATATACAAATAAAGTAGAACAACTTCACTTGTGAAGACATGAAAAGGCACAACCACCTGTTAAAAGGTGTTTTTCTAGGGCGATGGGTATATATGTCCTGGCGGAACGTTACCTTGCAGGGTGGTTGGATCCCTGTATCTAGCACACAGCCAGGAGTCATCAGACAGCCTGAGCACTCTGTCCGCCCCGTGTCCACATCCGCCGTACCGCGCCTGCAGTACCTCCTCCACAGGCAGGTGGCGCATCGCGTGCCGCTTCATGTGCATGGTGCCCACACTATGGCCTGGGGAGGAACGTGTCTAACACTTAAATGCAGTCAAACCTATGCTGATGGCCGCTTCTACGTAACGTAAGGACCATATGGCTATTGACGTACAGTCAAACCTGTACTAGTGTAGTGACCACGTCTACATACATGCAAGGACTACCTGTGTACCAATGGCCAAGTGATAAGGAAGATTATACACGAATCGATGTTGGAAGATAGTTATAGTTCACATGTGTTGCTTGGACATAATTGTTCAATGACAATTACTGTCAAAAATTTAAAAGGGCAATACGCTATGATTCAATTATGCATTCATACGGAGGTGATCAATATTACAAGTCTGAATGTATGTCAATATGTAGGTACTAGCAGTCCTTATTCAGAGGCGTCACTAGTGCAGGATAAACTGTAAGCGCCAGCTTTAGATAAGACTCCAATCATAGTTTATTCCCCCTTGATAACCCAAAGACTAAGAAACCGACATCTAAGATCCCCACCTGAGGGAATTTTCCCCTCTATTTTCCTGGCCCAGTAGATGCCATCCTCCACCACTGGGACGCCCTTGTGGTTGGCCTTGACCCAGGTGACCCCGCCGGGTTTCTGGAGGTCAAGTTTTGGCGGCACTTTGGGGATCACAACCTTTGAAAGAAGAGACAGGGAGAGTGAGTGTGAGAGTGAGAGTGAGAGAAAAACACACAGACACGCAAACATACAAACACGCACACAAAACACACACACACACACACAGACACACACATACACACGCGCACAGACACACATACACACACACACACACACACACACACACACACATACACAAACACAAACACATACACACACATTCACACGCGCGCGCGCGCGCGCACACACACACACACACACACACACACACACACACACACAAATACCTTATTACCCATATCACTCACTCACTCTCTCCCATATGAGTAACAACAAAACATTGACTGCATGTACAGGTACTAGTACATTGTATATGAAAAAAAACTTGCCTCTGGCACTTGTGGCTGTACCGGTTTGAAACCTTCCGTCGGCTTGTCTTTGGGATCGTCAAGACGTTCTGGTTCGTTTAAGGAGTTTGTGACCGTCTCCTTTTCTTCTCCTGTGCGTTCTTCTTCCCCTTCAAGCCCGATGATCCGAATCATCTGCGGGGCTTCTGTCTTGTGTTTTCCCGCTCGTAGTTTTGGATGCTGCGAGGAACATGCTTGCAGTAAGTATGACAAATGGCACACAAAGGCTAGCTTTCAACGCACATAATACGAGTACTACTCCAGCTGTATTAATAATACTATAGTTATAGTGGTACCACTTGATAATGATAAGTCAGTGATAGCTGTATACTAGTGCCCAGACCAGCATTTCATAATATGTAATGATATAACATAATACATGATGTATCATGTATTGAGGGTATTTATTCATCAAACGTTGTTATAATATATTCTAACTTCAAAACAAAGAAATTATTTTTTGTGGGCTGAGGACACAGCTTTTCTCAATATTATGGTACACAAATTAAATGTTACGTCCAGTAAAGGAAATGACACAAATGACCAAAATGGAATTGTCACGGTGATCAAGCAAACCAAAAACGGATGAAAACCTGTTGGTGTCTATTTGTGAATCTTGCAAGAATAGATCAATTAGCAAACAAAAGCAACAATTTTTTTCAGTGCAGAGCATATCGACTCACCTGCAGCTCTCTATCTAACGCACCGGTTGGTCGTTGCAGCGCCAGGTTGCCCAGGTACAAGCACAGCGCCACGATCGTCCCAACCCACACCAGGTTCAAACACTTTCTCCGTGAGGACATGTACATCGTGTTGTCTTTAGTCGTGAAACGCCACGTCGGATGTAGTCGATTGAATATCAACAAGACATAGGCAATGGTCAGGCCTTATTAACCTCTGAACTAACTGGCGGCCAAAAATTTTCAAGGTTTCCCTCAGTTTACGACAGACAAAGCCTTGCGATATGATCGAAAGGTTGTCTTTCTCTCTTTCTACAAAGAGACTTTCTCTCTTTCTACAAACGTGTTACCAGCCCTCGGAATCGTCTGTCCGTAGTTTATGTTGACGAAAAAGCAGTGATCACCGTAGGGACCGATCATATGTCATGAATAATAACTGGCTTGAAGCCAGGTAAGATGAGATTAATTGTTGGCCATACTAAAACGTGCAAACATACAAGTGACCGATGCATACGAGCTATACTACTTTTAGGATTTTTTTTTTCTAAAAAGCTGCTAAAAGTGATAAACCGGCGTTTGTAAGACCCCTTGTGGACTGTTTGTGATTTGTCCCGTTTCTGTAACATCTGTGCACCTAACGCCACGTCCTCTTAAGCGTCAGCTGGCGACGGCGAGATGCGGTGGGGTACGATCTTGTGATTCAGCCTGAGGCAACTTTAGCTACGGGCTTCGGCTTACTTTTATGCGTTTTTGTTGGGCTTTCATTTTTGTACTCTTACTCGTATCTTTTTTCTCCAGCCAATTGCAAACTTCGGTGGTGTAATGGATACAAATGGAACTGTCTCTACAACGGTTCTAATTTTTCATACTGTCTTGTAGCCATGAAATGATCTGCGCTTGGAGATTAAGATATCTTGAGATACAGCCTCAGGCAACTATGGCTATAGTTTGTGGGAACCGGCATGTGAGATTGATTCTCATTGATCAATTACGGGAAGCTACGGGTGGGGGAATACCAATGACCACATTCTAGTATAAAAATGAAAGCCTCAAACTCAGAGAAAACAAGTAAAATCTGAAATTTTATGCCTCCGGGCTTTTTATTGTATATTCTTATATAGGGTTTTAAACAAAGAATGTATCGATACCGGACACCCCTCTGTGTGTGGGGTCATATACGTGGACCAGACCGAGAATAGCTTAAACACGCCAAAGGTCAACGATCGCGACCACTTTCACGCTAAAAGGGGTGTTTTGGGGCCACCAAAAGGCACCATTTTCACGCCCGAAGACACATATACAATAAAAACAAAAGAACGTGCATCATCTGCAGCCCAATAGCAAAACATATACCGAGTCTCAAAAGAATCCGTCCACCCAAACGCGAGAAACAGCTGCGAACATGAAAATCTAAATCTCTCACAAAACCCTTCCGCGGAAGGATGTCTCCTTCCCCGGAGGTAAAAAGAGCATTATTACATAACTAAATAGATTTTGGAAATTAGACGTTCGCTATCAATTTCCAGCATATAGATATATATATTTATGAAGTCAACGTACTGGCTCTAACCCCTTCCCCGGCCACCTGTACTAGTTTAATAGTGGCGAGGAATGAAGTTGCAATGAGTTCTGGATGCAGTACTTTGGTCGACCGTGGAGTGTCTCTTTTGAACAGTGCAGACTGGCTGGCTCTGCGTTCGCGAAATCTGATCCTCCCTTTGTTTGTCATAAGCTGGGCTGATTCTACGATTCTACAGACTTCAGCATAAACGTGGGTCTCTTTTCTTCTTATCTTAAGGTAGTGTATAATGGTGCCTGAGGACTTTGGGGACATCTTAAAAATACTAGTTAGAATTACTTTTGGTCATTTAAATTTTTCATATAAGTACCTTATTGCAAGACAATAATTTATGCAAATTTTTATGACGTCACGATGACGTAATCTGGAGTTATGAGCCACGCCCCTTTTTTAGAAAATCAATTTTCCTGGCCAGTGCTTTGGTTTTCATTGACCATATTTTGTAGAGAGGCGCACTATAGTGATAGCAAAAAACGTACGTCAGGATTTTTTTCTATCTTCAAATGTTGATTTTTAATGAATTTTTTTCGTAAATTTTAACAGTGCCATACGCCAGCGGCCCTCCCCAGCACATAAAGCGGCGCAGCGTGTCGGCCTGACGTACGTTTTTAGTTTAGAAGCTTATGTTTAAAATAAAACAATTTTTGGTCCCTTTTAATTAGCAGTTTTGCCACAGTTTTGATCTAAAAATGCTGTATATGCTGTATGGGTTACATAAATGTCCATTTTGGAGCCAAAAAGAGCCGAAATCGCCAGGTTTTGGTCCGCATTCCAAAGGCCCCGATGACTTCCGGTAAAATGCGGGTCATTGACCCTTCAGCACGCTGTATTTACCATTCTGAGCCGCGATTTAGAAAAACAGGCCGGGGATATGTCCAGTAAGTGGGGGAGTCACGTGACCAAACCAAAATGGCGGACGACGACTTGGATGCCGCGAAGGACGCTGTGCGGTTTGCGGCAACATTTGGGCCGCTAGACAATCTTTTAAACGACTATACCCTACGTAGTTTTGCAGGTGGACTTTCATGGACTATTCTGAGACCTTTCTGGAGAAAAACCGTCCGTGTTTTCTGGAGTTATGGACTTGTTTTTGATGCCTACCCCCGAAGTTCTTTGTTGTGTTACGGAAAGCAACATACTCGGAAAAAAGACTGAAAACATGGAGTTACCGGAGTAGATAGCCCTGGAGAAAAGCCTGCCCGTACGTGGTATGAGATTACTAGCGAATATAATTTTGTTGATTATGTGAATTTCTGTTGAACGTTGTCCTAGTAGACGTGTGCTTACAGTAAATGATTTTTTTTTTACGTACGGAGTTTTATCTGCAAAATATGGACGATCCGTTATAAGCTGCCACCGCTGTAAACCGTAAAGATATGTTCGTCGTTACAGTAAGATTGTGTATGCATTCCGCTCTAAGATAGCTTGAAGTTTGTTTGTATTGTATTTCTTTAAATAAAAAAAGAACGTTGCAGATTGGAAATCAGTTCTTGTGTCATGTTTGTTCAAGTACTAGTATCTTCTTCCTACAACTGCATATAACAGTTACTACCGGTAGTATATTTACAAACATTTTGCAGTCGAAACAAACTCAAACGTTGCTTTTGGCAGTCAAATGTTTTTTCATAGGAAGTTGTTGGCGTAATCCATGCCTTTTTCTTGGTGATTTCTGTGGTATATTTCCAGTTGAATATGTGTTCCGACTTGATAAATATATATATAGCCGGCATGGCAGGTTTTCGTAAATTCTTTGCAGTTGGCAGATTTTGGTTACTTAGCGGTCTACAAATAACATGATGTACTGTATTTACAAACGCTCTAAGTATCAGGAAAATTGTCTTTTCCTTTCCCAATGGCAAAGTGAAGCTCACACACACTGTGACAGTTCACATTCCTTGCTTCAAGTGGCCCAGCGGAATCGTGCTTTCGCTTCAGTGGGGCCGGGGGTGGTGCACATATTTGGTAGAGCACTCCACTATTTGGAAGAGCACTCCATATATGGGAGCCCGGATGGTAGATGGCGCGTAAAAATTGCGAACTTTGTCGTTCAATTTCGCGGTCAAAATGTGGCCCTGGCAAAAAATATGTTATAGATTATAAAAATAGACCAAAAAGTCTACCATGTCAGATAGAGTTTTTTTTCTATATTAGTATTTCCAAAAAGTCCTCAGGCACCCTTCAATATGACCTTAAAGACCTGGTGGCTAATTCGTTAATACCGGGTTCAGAAATTAAAGAGATGAAAGGTTGTCTCGGCCTGTATTCCGTAGCGCCAGCAGTTGGATTTGGGCGTAGCAACATGGCGGTTGCCATCCACGCTCGGCTGGGTCTGATGGATCTGTTGACGCGATGGCCGCCCCAGCTGTGCATATGACTCAGCCTGGATGCCGTGTATTATTATTCCTCCTCATTTGCATCCTATTTAGTGGACCCAGAGGAAAAGTAAATTTTTCATCCAATGGACTGAAAATTCATGTCTGGTCTACCTTGGATTAGGGATGATGGTGTGAGGTAGGATTTACTGA